AGCGTGTATCGAATGCCGTCAAATTCAAACGTCACTGCGAAAATATCATCTACAGAGCTCATGTTTGCTAGAAAAGTTAGTTCCATTTTTGACAAATTACTGCCAGGGAATAAGAGGAATGTTTGACAATTTCAACCTACCTGATCATTTAAGATCAGTGATAATGTTCTCCTTAAAAGCTTCAAGGCTGGAAAAGAAAATTGGCAGGAAGGAAAAATTATTCAGGGCCTTGGTAGTATGATGTACATTGTCGAAAGTGAACGATTTCGTTAAAAGAGACATATTAATCAATTGAGGTCAAGATATGCACAGAATAAGCAACCAGTACAATTTAACGTACCGATGGGCATACTTTACGATGCATTTGAAGTTCCTATTCCTACAACCGGCAGTACTATTCAACGTCAGGGTAAACGAAAACGTAATCCGAATGAAACGTTGGAAGTGGGCACATGTCGGAAAAGCTATTGACTAAAGAAAGTGCATATCTAAAAAGAGGGTGTTCTAGAAAGGAACACATCAATCCAGAAGAGGACCGGGACTCGTTCAAATACATAAATACGGACGCTGAGCATCGTCAGTAAAAAGAGTAAACAAGTAGAGATAGACATCTAGCTTATCTTTTTACTATCTATTTAGTACATATTTCAGCAAGACTGCGTCAACTCCAAGCAACATACTACTTGATTGTGTTATCTTCATTCAAGGCAATGAAGATATAACAATATATATATATTTATATATTCGCCGATTGAGAACTATGGGGAAAAGGGATTTTCTAACGGCTGCTGCTATTTTAAATACATCTCTCTTCATAAGAATTCAGTGCCATGGCGGCCGGTATAGCGTTTATATATCATGTATATAATGCGTTAAAAACGCATTATATACGTGCCCTGATAGGCTAGGGCTACAGGTCTCTGACTGATGTCAAATCGTCGAATTTTGATCCCGGCTTGAAGCAATCGGATGTCTAACAACACTGATGAAACAGTCTGTCTGTGGAGGATATATATATATATATATATATATATATATATATATATATATATATATATATATAGGGTGCGATAGATAAATTGTCGTCTAAACTACACAAAAATGTAAATGACACTGGCATCTCATTTTAAGAGATATATTTACTAATATTGCATTCATTAAGTCCAGAGTAGAAGATACTTGTGTACGTACCCAAGAAAAAATTTTAAAAAAGTAGGCCGAACATAATCAAGACCGTAGAGTCCATAAATACGATCCTTAGCTGCATATTACACGCTTCGCCAGGACTACATATGGTTTGAAATTCGAAGCTGTCCTTCTCCAGACCACAGACTGCTCTACTATTTTACCCATAGACGAAGAGATGGATTCATATATTTCCTAATTATATTTGCGCATATGTAGAAATAATCAACTCGACTGGAATTCGAACACAGCTCACTGATTCCTCGTTCCGAACCGCTATCCACTGCACCACCTGCACATCCTACATCTCCCGCACATCAACATGTAATAGAAAAACATATATTTCACATGATGCATACATTTCCCAAAGGTATTAGGCCGTAAATGAATGGAACGAACTTGACTGGAATTCGAACTCTGCTCTCGGTACAGAGTGCGATGGATAAATTGTCGCAAAAATGACACAAAGATGAAAACAACACTGATATCTCATTTCAACAGGTATATTTACCAAAGTTACAAAAATAATATCCTGAAATACTAAAGAGAAAATTTATTCAATAAAATCGCCATTGGCCTCCAAGCGACTTAGGAATCTCCTGAAATTTTTCTGGGCTGTCTCCTTGTATAAGTTTACATATATGTGTGTGCGCGCAGTGTAGAGTAATGGTTAGCGCCTCGGATGGAGGAATCGGAGAGCCGATTTCGAATTCCAGTCAAGTACATTACATTCACTTACGTGCTACTACCCTTTGAATTCAGCTCTTCCCCCCGCCCCCAGATATGGGCAAATAGCAGGACAGACTGTGTTCTATAGACTTGGGTGGCAACTGGTCTAGGAGAAAGAAATTTCTGAATTCAAATCAGCTTGAAGAGGGTTGGGCTCCGTCAGGCTATCTTGCCCAAAACACAATTTCTACTGCGGCTACAGTACATGTGCTACATGATTCGTGATTGTGATTATATATATATATATATGTGTGTGTGTGTGTGTCTCGCTAGATCAGTTACAACTGATATATATATATATATATATATATATATATATATATATATATATATATGTTTCGCTAGATCAGTTACAACTGAAAAGTGAGTTCGATACTCACTAGATGCCCCATACTTTCGGCCTTGTGCCACATCTAAGCTATGCTTGGAAAATAACTATATATATATATATCAATCTAAGCCCTTTATCAATTATATATATATATATATATATATATATATATATATATATATATATATATAGAGAGAGAGAGAGAGAGAGAGAGAGAGTTTAAAATAGACACTGTTTAAATTAAGAATAAAATCGGCTATTATAAATACGAATATCCACTATAATAACATTTGAAGTAATAAAATGTCGGATTAACAATAAATCCATTAATTCTTTATATATATATATATATATATATATATATATATATATATATATATATATATATATACGTGCGTGTGTGGGTGTGTATGTGCGCGCGTGCGCATGCGCATACAGACGGGATGAAATCATTATGCAAAAAATGTCAATATGTCGTAGAGTCTGCCTGGATCTGCATTTCCAACGGTCTGGTTACATATTAATCATATTACTAAACTATTTATGGCTAAATCGATTATCACAAAATTGTGAAGCAGATAAGAGACAAAACAACTTGCTTTATTAATCAGGCAAATTCATTTAAGCCCTGTCTTTTTCTGCACTTTTTACACACACACTTACACTGTTTCCGTTTTCACGGCTTATATTTTTTTGCGTCATATAAAATTGAAACATATTTTAGATTGTACAAATAAAATGATTTTTTTGTGTGTGAGTATTAAATTAACATTTTTTCCAGATAGAAGTCCTACTAAGGAAGGAGATGGGGTCATGCCTTTCCTAAGTGTATTTGTGTGTAGTAAATGACTGTAACGAACAGGACTGTAATTCGAACACGGCTCTCCGATTCCTCATTTCGAGTCACTATCCACTACACCACTCACACATTCCCTGACATAAAGAAGGAGATAAAACTGAAAGCAACAGAGAGAATTCGAAAAAGAAAGATAGAGCAAGAGAGGGAAAGAGAGTAAACATGCTCAAGATAGAGAGAGAAAACAAAAAAATATCCTCGTCATTTCATCATATCACAAAGTAACAAGTCATCGTCACCGAGTTTGATAGTACTGGCGTTGTTAAAACTGTTGTGAGAATTTCTTCTCACACAGTTCAACAACTGGCAGAGACAAGAAAAGACATACAATCAACAAGGCCTACCTTAAAACTTAAAACAAATTTTATTGCATCCTTGCAAAAAAAGATTTTGCCCTTTTTTGCCCCTGGGAACAGGGTGGGGTAGTTCTTCAAAGAATAGGTAGTGACTTTTCCTTCTGTAGGACTCAATTGGTCTCTACGAAGTTGGAGAAGCAGGAAATTGCTGGTCGTTGCTGGAGCATTACCATTTCGGTTGCTGAAGTTGAAACTCGGCTATTGTCGAGATCATGCAGAAAGTTCTTCCTGTTGAACGTATACATTTGACGACAGTCAATAAACTGACTGAATTATACAGCCTTGAAAGTATTGAAGAAGCTGGAACATGACGTCGTCTCAGGAACATTACCATTTTGGTTGCTGAAGAAGAATCATTGCCTAATTATTTAGGCTTGATTTTGGGCGCTAAAGGCCCTGCAAAGAGATTCAAAAATGAGTCCTGACATTTCCAATATTTTGCAGCAACTGACTCAAAAGGGCACGGGCCGTTGAAAAAATGCCCGCGAAAAACAAAATCAAATTCAACCAATGAAATTGGTCGTTACAATTTAGCCAATAGGAGCTTAAATTGTAGAATTTCTCACACTGTTCATCATGGCTGATTATGCGCCCCGCCTTCTAGGTTTTGTGAGTAATTTCTGCTTAGCTTCTGTCGGCCCCGTCGGTGGTGCCTGAGTAAGTGTCGGAAAACGAGAGCAGTAAGCCATCATATATTGCCCGGGAATGTAGAAAATTAACAGCACTCATGACACTGATTCCGCCATCTTGGTTTCAACCGTTTCTTATCTTGAGTCGATTTCGGTCAATTGATTTCCTAACGCTTTATTTATAAAAAATAAAAAATAAAAATTTATGAGCGCTATATTTTTTATGAGTTCATTTGAAGTGGGATCAAAAAAGAACGTATATATATATATATATATATATATATATATATATATATATATATACTTCATTTAACCTGCTCCCACCGATACATTTCCCATACACTTGATTTTCCTCTCCCACTCCTTCACCTTCTATCACACCTCACGTCGTGCGTTTATTTATTTATTTTTTTGCGACAAAAATAAAACGAAAAAAAATAGTTCAAATTAAATAATAGAAATGTTTCATCAAAGAAATCTGTCCCACTTAAGACTATTATCTACTATTATTCGATTTAAACAAACACTACGGCGGACAAAAGACTGACGCAAGCGCTATGACTAAATTAGATTTCGTAGTATAATCGGTAATAGGCCGCTTCCGTCTGATAGGCTTCCGGGGAAAAGAGATACAAATACAAACTCTTTTTTTCAAGCGAAATTTTTTAACTGTTTTTTTATTTATCTACTTGTCTAATGTCACAAATCCATAAAATGTTGATGCTTACTTTTTTTCGTAGCAAAAACAAACTGGATTAGTAGAAGAGAACGAACTGCTTATTTATTCGGTCAAATAGTATCCGCCTGTGTATCATTATTTTTAAAATGATCAGCACATTTCACAAATACCGCTATTATACAGTTAACCGGAATAATGTTACGATAAACGTGACATGAATTTTTAATAACATGACGGATATAATTTATATAGATTTGAAGTGCAACATAGATAGATAGATGAGATGTCAGATAGATAGATAGATAGATAGATAGATAGATAGATAGATAGATGTGAACAGCTTCAGATAGATAGATAGATAGATAGATAGATGTGAACAGCTTCAGATAGATAGATAGATAGATAGATAGATAGATAGATAGATAGATAGATGTGAACAGCTTCGGATAGATAGATAGATAGATAGATAGATAGATAGATAGATAGATAGATAGATAGATAGATAGATGTGAACAGCTTCAGATAGATAGATAGATAGATAGATAGATGTGAACAGCTTCAGATAGATAGATAGATAGATAGATAGATGTGAACAGCTTTAGATAGATAGATAGATAGATAGATAGATATTGGGGGAAAACAAATATTCGTACACATACAAATTTTAATTTATTGTATTTAAAACTAATGAATAAACATACTTTTCACATAATTAGCTGTACTCAGATGCGTAATAACTAAATATGCATAGAAAAAAACATTTTGATTTTATAAAATCAACCCCATTTATCCATTTTAATGTATAAAAAAAGTATTCGTATAATACTACAAAGAATACACAATCTTCATTTAATAATTTTTAGAATAGCCATTATTCACTTCTACAGCAACCACTTCTTGTAGTTCTCAATTAATGGTTTGCAAATTTTAGTTGCTATTATGTTCCGTTCTTCACATATGGTTTTCAGATCCGGGAGGTTTGTTGGGGCTCTTGATTGGATTTCAATTTTCAAATAAAGCCACAGATTCTCGATTGGATTTAAACCTGGGAACTGTCTTGACTGTTTCCGGATATTTACATTATTTTCAGCAAACCATTTCTTTGCAGATTTTGCAGTGTGCTCAGGATCATTATCTTGTTGGAAGATCCAATCAGGAAGAAGTTCAATATTTTCAACAAAATCATTAAATTTGCTTCCAAAATATTTTGATATCCTACAGCATTCATTCTACCATCTATTACTGATATGCTGCCAGTGCCTTTTGCAGAAAAACATCCCCAAACCATGATGCTGCCACTACCATATTTCACTGTTGGAACTAAGTTCTTTTGTTTGAAGGCATCGCCATCTTTCTTTTATACATGATTTCTAGAATTACGTCCTGACAACTCAATTTTGGTTTTGTCTGTCCATAATACTCTTTCCTAATACGATCCTTCCTTATTCTGATATTCACGAACGAATTTAAACCTGGCATATTTGTGTCTTTTCAATAGCAGTGAAGTTTTCCGAGAGGAGCGTGACTTTAGATTGTCCCTGTGAATTTTATTGCTTATTGCCCTTTAAGTGACAAAGATTTCTGATGAAAGCAAATCATCCTGCAACTCTTGATGAGTAACCATTGGATTTTGTTTAATTTGATGCATTAATTCCTTCGAAGATCTTGAAGAAATCTTCCGTAGCGCACCTGCTTTTCTTTGGTTTCCAACAGTTTTGAGTTTTTATACCTTGCAATGAATGAACTAATGGTAGTAAATGGAATATTCAGGTTGTCTGAGATTTTCCTGCAAATTTTTTCCTTTTTTTCCAGTGTTTAACAATCAGTTCTTTTTGTGAATTTGTCAATCCTTTACCTCTTGCCATGATGGTAACCGTCTTGCACGATATCAATTACAGAATGTTGATTTATTGTGTATAATTATAAAACAATTTTGGCACAATACCTAAAAGGTGGAATAGGTTGAAGCTGGTCGATACTAACTATTCTATACCCAGCTAATCAGATTCACGACCCATTCACTCATTACAATTTGCACATCTACTACAAATCGTGATTCAATCCTAAACATACCACAATACCACACACACACACACACACACACACACACACACACACAGAGGGAACCTACAAAACACCACATGACATAAAAATTAATGAGTATAAAATTATAGATAAAAAATTTGCCGATAGTAGGATGAACCTGAAAAAAATAAAACTAAAATATAACGATATATGCAAACTAAAGATAATTGATGTTAGTAGGACCTGTCCAACTCTCAACGAAATAAGAGAGTCTTGAATCATAACAGAAGAGGAAAACAGGAACAGGCGAGGAACAACACTTATTCACATTAATTAGGTACACAATAATGGTCTATCCTAACCAGGGGAGGGCTACACAGGAAGCCAACCTGTTTTGAATTAGGGAGACTTGAAAAAGAACAAGGTTAGCCCCGTTCGCGAGAACCAGGTTCACCGCAGTTACCCATCTTTCGTTATAATCTGTTGATACCAAACGCTTTCTCTCAGTTCTAATCTTCAACCTGAGCTGATGCACAAAGAATCGGATTAGATTAGATACTGATGAGAAAGACGATCACCTCGCAAGATTTCCTCCATTCGCGTCGTCCAAATAACCATTCGAGCCGTGGCTAGCAGCGACAGAAATCCGTTTCACCCCAGAATACGGTGGCGACACATTGTCAAACGCGCATGCGCGATCAATGAGCACGAGCTTTTCGCCGACATAGTCCCGTAGGGGCATACCCGAGGACACTGGTAGAAGGCGTGCGAAGCCGATTCCTCTAAGCCAAGATCACTTCAAGGTCAGTCTGGCAAATCCACTGAGCCCCATATGAATGACCTGTCATTGAGAGATAGCCTATTCCGAACCAATCGCCAGGTAAGCGAAAACTCAGGTTTGCTGAGATAATTCGCTGCTGGTGCCAAAGAACAAAACAAGCGCAACTCGTCCGCTAACAAGCAAGCCAGTCGCGAAGTATCCGCTACGCTGGGGATCTCCTCGAATCTTTTGTGTCAAGGTGACCTGGAGAATAAAGTCTCCAGTGGCAAATCCAACTTTGCTTATTGTTGCCGAGACCCCCACGCCGTACCGGGCAAAAAAAGACTACTCACCAAACCTATCCCCACTGATATCCACTGGGACTCCATGGACGGTCATTTTCGTCCTTCTCGTCCCGAAGTACTCAAATTGTAAGCGGATAGACTTCGTTGCCAGGGTGCTTCCCGCCAACTTCTTCGCCTCTTCCTCCGAGGCCAGCAAGATATCGCATAGAACGTTTGACATTCTGGGCAGGATTTTTGGGCCTATCTTCACTGATTCCTCCATCATTTGCCAGCTGACGCCAATCACTCTTCGTGTCACATCGGTGGTCATCAGGGAGATCATCCGTGTCTTCAGGACATCATTTGCTTCTGGGATGGTAAGTAACTCATTCCCTTTAATGTAGAACTCATATTTTTCTTTTAGGGTTTCATATTTGGCATCCTTTTGGAGTCCCCAGGCCGGTTTTTTTTTTTTTTTTTTTGCAGTGACATTTTCTCTGTTAACCGTCTCCAAATTCACCGCCATATTAGGGCCAACCACGTCCTACGGCGGTCAAATAAATTGAAAAGATCGTCTTATATTTTCCAGCTTTTTGTCCACAAACAGAATAGTCTTGTCACTTAGTAGTCACGACAGGTAAAAACAAAAACAACTCAAAGGAAAACTCAAACTTGTCGTGGAAACGTTAAAACAAAGTGAAATAAACGCCAACAGCAAAATAAAAACGGATTACAAAAATACACAAAAGCAAATAATAAGTTTGACTAACAAAAAAGGAGACACAAAAAGAAAAAAAGGTATTTAAAAAAAAAAATGAAAACAATAAACTGAAAAACAAAAATTCCTTCCAAGTCTCACGGATAATAGAAAGAAAACGAAAAATACAACGATTAACTTAATTTCAATTGAGCGTTCTTCGAAAATCCTCGTCAGGTAAAAATTCGCTGGACTAGAAAAACACCAATATCAATTATAAAATATTCTGTTTGTATTTTTTTAAGCTAAAAATAACTACAGATAGCATTATTGGAACATTCTAGAATATTCCACTTGAATAATCTAGAGTATTAAAGCAATTTAAAAGTTTAAAACCTGAAATTTGTATTGTACGAATACTTTTTTCATCCATTAAAATAGATAAATAGGATTTATGTCTATTAAATCATTTTTTCTGTTTTCTATGCATATTTAGTTATTATGCATCTATGTACAGTTAATTATATGAAAAGTATGTTTATTCATTAGTTGGAAATACAATAATTTAAATATTTGTATGTGTACGAATATTTGTCCCCCCCCCAATATATATATATATATATATATATATATATATATATATATATATATAATTCTGTATTTGCGCAGCAATCGTTCTTTATACTAGTTTTATTAAAGTGACACTAAAATGTCTTGTTTTGGATGTGTGGTTTTTAGGATTCATTTAAACACAGACGGAAACTTATCAAACTCCATCTGGGACATACTTATAGAAAATACAAATATAAAAACCTCATCCACATGTGAAAAAAAAAAGACTAAACATAATGGAAGTACTAATGATAGAAAAATCCAACTACTCAGTAATATCGACTATGAACATGGCCACAATGTGCTGACCGGGTTTGGAAAATAAAAGAAACAACAACATTCCTATAACTCTAGATACATACATAAAAATCCATACATTCAGTTAAAAAAATAAGAATAAATAAAAAACATCCTTGATATTAGCTAAATGAAAAGACGAAGGCGCTCGGATATACAGAACCAATGGATAATATTTCACACACTTTATGTCCCGAAAAGAAAACATTTACATGAACACAAGAAACATTAACTAAAAAGCTTAATCGCAGTATTTTGCCATCTTTAATGAAACATATATACGTCGATTACAAAAAATGATCACTTATGCCGATCAATATGTATACAAGTATTGTATTGCACATACGAATAGTAATTGAGGTTACTTGACACCATGAGATCATGAATCGATCTATAGCTATCTCTCCCTCTCTCTCTATATATATATATCTCTCTCTCTCTCTCTCTCTCTCTCTATCTATATATATATATATATATATATATATATATAATCCCTCCTATACTCTACCATGTCTCTTTAACACTTTTGCACTCTCTGTTAAATTACAAAATCTTACACTACCCATCAATTTTAATTTCATTTTTCGTTTCATTTCATTTTTGGAAGTGCTATCTGATGATCCGGCGTCCTTTAAAAGAACTCTGGTGAAATAAATTATTATAATGGTACCTTAAAGTGATCTCTTTTTCTTTTAAATTCTTTTAAATATATATATTTATACACATTATATATATATATATATATATATATATATATATATATATATATATATATATATGATTTATTTGTTTAAACGTTATTTTTAAATTGATACTGTATTTGTGTAAATAAACTGTTTTTATTTATTTATTAAACAATACTGTTTTTTATTTATCTATTAAACAATACTATTTAATAGTACTGTTTAAGAAATAAATAAAAACAATTCATCTACTGAAATGTGAGTATCCATTTAAAAATTATGTTTATAGAAAAAAATTAGAAACATGTGGGATTTAATCCATTTCCCAATATATATATATGTTAATTAATTTTGCTCATTTAAAAGTAAAGCACTGTCTTTTACTGTTTGGGTTGCCCCCCTCCACCGTTTTTTTTTTTTTCTTCTTTTTTTTTTCAGTTTATGTTACCTTTTCTGGGGGATGGGAGTGTGTATTGAACAAGTTCTCGATCAACTATTTCTCAAAATATCCGTCCAAATCACAAAAAATCAAATTTTAGGGAAGAGTTTCTTAAGTAGAAGCGAGAATTTTTTTTTAGCGCGCCTGTCACTTTTCAGCATCCGGGGCGTTTCATTTAAATTTCTGAAGATTGTAGGTGTCAGGGTAGCAAGAAATCGGAAGAAAAAGGCGAGAAAAGAAACTATTAGAATAGAACATATGGTTGCATCTAAGCTAGCTCAACATTACAACGATGAAACCCAATTTCCAGTCTCGAAGAGCGCTTACGTTCATCATATCGAGGCACCAAAGTGAAAAACTTATTAGAACAATTGCTATGAAGATGTTTATAGAAAAGACAGTTGGGAGTCACGACACGTCATCGAGAAACTCACTGAATTCAAGATACCAGGCCAGGATTGATTACATTACAGGCCATTACATTTTGTCAAGAATCTCGAGATATGTAGCAAGAGCACCAGACCATATATGGCAGCATTATTCAACGCACAGACGAATGGCAGATTCATAAATGTACAAGATGGATTCTGACGAGAAAAATCGTCTGGTGCAACACAGTGACGCAACTTTGCTAGCGATAAACCTAAGCTTTTGATTCAATATAATCCCTTCACTTCATATCAATGGAAAACGTTATCCCAAGAAGGCACAAAGAGTTGCTCAACTGCAGCTTTGCATCAGCCATGCTGACAGCAGACCGAAAAGGTCCTCTAGGCTGATTACATGAAAGTAGTTTTGTTTTTGTGCGTTAAAATGTATAAGCCATTCCTTACCCCAATTAACCACTGATTGGAAGTCGTTTCCGCGTACAGTCGCCAGTTTTAATTTGTCGGATCTGTCGGACTTGTTACTAAAACAGGAGTAGATAGTTGTGTCATCAGCATAAATAGCTAGTTGAGACTGGGAAGTTCGTTGATTAAGCTAAGAAGCAATATAGGTCCAAGGATAGATCCCTGTGGGCATACACGCATAAATATGAAATGATCTAGAAGTATGACTGTTCAACACGGCCTTCATAACACGATTTGGAACGATTGGAATAAGTCAAATGTTCGTAGTCCTTGAGCTTGTGGGGGTTGAGCTTCGCCGTTATGTAAAACTTGATAGACACCTTCAGTGATAGCCATCGTCGGTAAACCAGAAGAAATAGAAGCCATATTGTTTATCCGAAAGGAGACAGTGTGAAATGGAATTCTTAACTAATTCGGCGTTGATTAGATTTTCTGGTACATTGTCAAAAAGATCTAAGAGTCTAAGAGAATGATAATCCGAGGAGTCAGAAGGTTTCACAGAGTTCTTAAAGACAGGAACTCCAGAAGAGAACGTACAACAAGCTAGAAAGCAAGAAGCAGTGAGGTATTTATTGTAAAATTTGGAGTGAACAGGAGCCTGTTCAGAAGCACAATTCTTTAGAACAATTGCAGGGATGCCGTCGAATCTGCAAACTTTGTGGGGATCAAATTTACAAATGGGCGGGATTATGTGCATATCACACAGTCGAGACTCTGTCCTAGAATTCTGTTTTATCAGCACTAGATGACATTACTTCGAACTGATTGAAGACAGCCGTGACTGAGGATTTTATCTTTAGTACACGATTACAAAGCCGCCAGTAATCTCTTGAACAAAACTTTGGAGAGATTACCCGGTGTCTCATTTTATCAGCGAATAATTTATTTTTCCGCAAAATAAATTATTTCATGAACAATCTCTTATGTTGATACTAGCTGCACTTTCCCAAGCTTTGTGTAATGGAGTCTTGGAAAGGATGAATTAGTAAGTGTAAATTATCAGGAGCATCACTTTTATCATCATTTTCGCTTTTTTTTTTTTTTTTTTTTTATCCCGGGCCAAGTCGATTATCCCGCGTGTTCAAAATGAAAAGTAACATTCGATTCACTAAATATCTCTGTTTTTTTTTTCACATTTTTTACCTACATCATCATGAAATAAACGTTGTTTTATAAGTGTAAGAAGAAAACATATTCACAATGGCAAGATTTTAAGTGAAACAAACAACAACAAAAAATAAATAAAACAAGACGAGATATCACGAGACATGGATAGCAGAACGAGAACAATTCACCCCTGTATATTAAATAAAGGCTTCAGTTGAACATTTCCTGAAGTTTACTCAGATTGACAGAAACCAGAAGAAAGCCGGAGGGTACAACGAACGTAATGCTGTGATAGTAAGAAAGATGGGGGCAATAGTCTGAATGTATATAATTCATATTTTTTTTCTTTTAAAAAATGGTGCAAGCGATGCTTTTTCGTTTATCGCTTGCTCCTTCATTTTTTTTCTATTTTTCATATTCTTTCCTATTTGTTTTCTATGTCTTTTCGTTTCTTTCCGCTTGTCTCTGTCTTTGTTCTTTAATTTTTTTATGTCCTCTTTCTTTTTTCTTTCTATTGATTTACCATTTTTTTTTTCTAGCTTCATTTTTCTCTTATCACTCGCTCTTTCTTTTTTTTTTTTTCCATTTTTACCATTCTTAGTATTAGTTTAACTTTCCTTCCTTAAATTCATTTTTTTCCGGTTTTTTTTTCACTGAACTTTCTTTCTTTCTTTCTTTCTTCTTCAACATGCATTCTTTTTTCTTTCGCCTTTTCTCGCCATCAACTCGTTTTTCTTTCTTTGACATAATAGATTCTTTCTTTCTTTCTTTCTAATAGATCCTTTCTTACTTCTGTAGCTTCATAATAATTTCCCCTTTATTCCAGCTTATTTCATCTTTTATCGCTAGCTCCTTTTTTATTTTATTTTTCTTACTATTTTTTCCATTCTTAAAATTATTTGAACTTTACTTCGTGTGATCATTCCTTAAATGCATTCGTTTTCTCTGTTTTTTACATTTCGTTTTTTTTTCCACTTGCCTCCATCTTTATTTTTCTGTTCGTTATCATCGTAATATTATTCCTTTCAACTTCCCAACGACTCTCCCCTCCATGACTTTAAGGTAAGAACATCTGACTTATCTTCCTTATCCGTTGCTATTACATTCCATCACAAGGTTACTTCCTCAAAGAAAAAAAAAAAAGAAAAAAAAGTCTGCCGGAAGTTTATAACCTGTCTAAACATACATTTCGTAAAGAATTAATGTAACCCTGGATGCATAAAACAGACGTCACGTTTCTACATGTATTCTCTAAATAACAACGAGTTCATTTCCGACCACTTCATCGTAAGTCAGTTTTGACTTGTAGCGAATATCGTCTCGTTGCAAATTCAGATAGTGTTATCTAACATTAGAAATTGTTTTTTCTTTCTTTCTGAAGGTCAAAAAAAAAAAAAAAATTAAAGCCAATAAGTAGGTTGATAACAAATCTCATGTGACATTTGTTTTAATCGTAATGAAAATATCAAAATCGTATAATACTGCAGGAAGCACCAAAATGTACGCAGTGTTCTTTTATTCTTTTTTAAATAAAGCAAAACATCACTCTCTCTTTTTTTAATTTACCAAAATATCAGACAATTATCTGATTTAAATGAAATTTTCAGCTCATGCATTAATTGTATTGCACACAGAATATCAATAATACATTTATACTTATTACATTGGTTATAATTTTAAAATTAGTAGGTGGTGACAAATATAGATTTTATTGTTTCATAAACAAACCTCCTTATTTATGTTATTTTAGTAAAAAAAAAAAAAAAAAAAAAAAGGCAATATCAGATTAAAATATCTTAAAAATTTGTCCTGAAACTTTAAAAAATATTTCAATAATATTGAAAAAAATATTTTTGTGGAGAGTCAGTGTTTGCATAGTTTAATATAATGCATTATTTTCTTTCAGTTTTGAGAGGGAAAAATTTACAATGAATATTATTTTTGTAAAATTTACTGGTACATTTTCAGTGCCTGCAAAGCCTAATGACATTTTCACTTCAGAAATATTTTTAAAATAATTTTTATTTTATTTTTTATTTTTACAACTGCTAAATTGTTTTTTGTACGGATGATCGAATATGAAATAATTAGACAACAGACCTTTCAAACTAGTGCATTCCCATTAATATTAAACACATTTATTAGACCAAGTTTCATAAAGGGTTATAGAATAAAATATATCACTAATTTATTAGTTATATAGGCGTATAAATGATTATTTTTAAACATAAACACAACCAGATTTTGTATTTTGGTAATTTTGTCTTCTGTATTTAATTAAATTTGAGGCACTTATTGTTAAAGTGGTTGACGCTATGGTAACATAATCTAGTGTGTTCAAATGTTTCCTGTTATATTTTTAGCGCAAAGTAAGAGATATCTTTCTAAAATTCTCTTAATTAATCCTTAATTTTACTAATTTTCTTATAGGTTAGATACTTGATTGTCTGACACACAAAGTTCCTGTGGAACCCATTTGTCGGGTTTCTTTACTTTTTCTTGAGATGGTCTTAAATTGTTGAAATGCAGATGCTCATTATCTGAGACATATCTCTGATACTTTGACGTGGCTTTTGCTTGATTAGTGTTTTCAAATGTTGACTGTCAATTGCCGATGAACGTCTTCTACAACCTTGATCTTCAAGACCTCAGAAACCAGCACCATACTTTCCGATCCCGAGTGGATTCCTCACCCAATGCACTGTTAATATTAGTGACAATTTGAGACATATTATGAGCAACCTTGAACTCATGTAAAAAAGTAAACGCATTTCTTTTGCCATGTGGGATATAGAATGTTTTACGTTAAATTCTGAAAGAGATTGATATAAAATTAACAAAGAAGACACTTTAATCATTAGGAATGAGTAATATATTTTTGTGCAACTATTATAATAATATATTTGAACACAGTTAAAAGGTATATTCTAAAATCGGACATTATTTTCCGAATAGCCTAAAACTATTTTCTAGTGTATACGAAGGGTGTGTCACATATTTGAGACAGAATTCAGAAGGATATTGATATTAAATTAACAAAGTCACTTTAATCCTGAGGAATGAGTAATATGTTTTTGTGTAACTATTATTTTAATACATTAGAACACAAAAGATATTATAAAACCGGACATTATTTTCCGAACAACCGAATATAATAGTTTAGAGTTTACGCATTAAAATCCTAATCATGAGTTTTATACTTCAAAGAGCCTAATGACATGGCTGACACTTTAAAAACTGCTAGACGTATAAATATAAAAGTTGAAAATAGTTTGATTATTTATATAATATTTTTATTAAACGACTGTAAGCTGAGACAAGGTCGGTAACTCTCGAGATAAGTAGAAAATTATTATACAATTCTTTGGCTGAGAATACTATAGACCGAAGGAGGAAGTTCTAGAGACAACGGAAATAAAAAGCACGTTTATACTTAACATTAGAAAGACAGTGGACGTTTCTGGGGCACATGCGGAGGAAAGATGGCTTGGAAAACTTCATACTCACAGGACAGAAGGAAAACAATGCGTATTCTACCTGACGAACTTGGGGGGATGGATGGTGGTGCAGGGTTTGGAAGAGATAGCAAAAAAGCAAAATTTATTTAGATCTACAAAGGACAGCAAATTGTAACTGACTGACATAACTGACAGCCCTGAAGGGACGCGGCGAAGAAGAAGAAGAAGAAGAAGAAAAAGAAGAAAAAGAAGAAGAACAACAAGACGACGGCTATACATAAATACTGGGTCATCTCCTGATGTTTCAAAGTGCATATAGTTGCCAATCTTAAATTACTTGTATATTCTTAGAATTACTCCCTGTCTTGTACCTTATCTATCAGCCGACGTTGGTGTATTAAGCAACTGAAGTAAAATGTGACTCGTGGTCAGTTTAACGTGCGGTTTCACATGTGTACGATTTTGTAAGATAAGAAAATTACCCATTCACTGCTACGGGTATCATGAAAGTGTCTGAATATTTCGATAATTTCTTTTTATTCAATTATCTAATTTTGCTTTGGGTCCAAATCTCTAAGTTAGGTATATCTCGTTTCTTTGTTAACTATTCCAATTAAATAAGATCAGAAGCTGAGAGAATTATTATTTTTTTTTTATTATTATTTTCGTTGATTTCTGGCGTTTACACATTTCTTTCCGGGCCCCGCCTAGGGACCTAAGGTTAAAAATGGCATCATGACACTCCCCTCTGGAAAAAAAAAATTACATAGATAAAGCTCTTCGTAAAGTGTGGGCTGTACTTGTCAGAACAATTATTATTATTATTATTATTATTATTATTATTATTATTATTATTATTATTATTCCTGCTTTGTATCATGTAGAGCCGGGTCCAAACTATGGTCTTTGGACCCTATAGGAAGAATTATTGGTATAGTCTCAGTCTTCATTCCCCCATATCCTGTTAATCTCGATCTCCAGGTCCTTGTATTTGAACAATTTCTCGATAATTTTCATGGAGGTGTTTCTCTCAGATGGTACTACTATATTAATAAGCATACACTTGCCGAATTCCTTGTATTTTATGATACTACAGTGTAACCCGGATATAAGAGACCCGGATATAAGAGATTTTCTCTGGTCCCAAATTAGAGCCTATGTTAATGTATATAAAATAGACCAAACCCGGATATAAGAGACTTCTTCTCCGGTCCCGACAACTCTCTTATATCCGGGTTACACTGAATCAGGTCTGTTGGCTTTTATTTCCCTGTCAGTTTGAATTGGCATGTCCAAGAGCATAGTTACAAAGTTTTTATTATTATTATTATTATTATTATTATTTATTTTATGTATTTACTTATTATAATTGTTATTTCCTACTATTATTTTTAACTGAGATCTAAGGTAATTGCAGGTTTTTGAAGTTATTGAAATTATTTCGAATATTTTTTAACATTTCTCAGAATCTAATGCCCGTATGATACCAGGTTTCTTTTCTATATTTTGTCAATGTGGTATTTATAACTCCTAACTGATAAATTATGAAATAAAAGTACAATTGTGTTTATTTATGTATTTAGTTAGTTAGTTAGTTTTTAAAAAATAAGACTGGGGATATGTAAAAAAAAAAAAAAAAACGTTACTTCTTTTTCCTAAATCGGGAAAACTTAAAATTTTTTTACGATATTAAAAGAACTTGTTTTTGTTTGTATACTCTCTGTTTTACTTTTTTAAAAATGTACTTTTAATTCATAATTTATCAGTTTTTTTAATATTTATTTCAATTCTAACAAGTGAGGAGTCATAAATTAAATGCCACGTTAACAGAAACACGTTTCATTTTTCTTTTAACAATGTAAAAAAATGCAATGTCTTTTTAAATTATTTTGTTTTACGTAGTTAAAGTTATTATTAGCAAAGTAGTAGACTAAGAACTAAAAGTCCGATAAAATTAATTTCATTTCTAAAAACTGAAATAAATGTTATCATACTTTTAATTCTTAGTCTATTTAGCTTAATAAAATTTCAACTATCTAAACAAAAAATAAAATATTGCATTATGAAAACTTGTAAATTGAAAAAATCCCCATTTTTTAACTTTAAGTAAAGTTTCTGGAAAGAAAGCATCTTTTGCAACCTATTTCCAGTGCGATACAACGAAAACTCCTGAAGTGATGGGATAATAACTGTTGGCTTAGAGTGAAGCCGAAGTGACAGAAAATCTCCTCAATCTACCGACGTTCTTCTCGGGTTATTTAAGGCCAGATAAAGGTTTTAATTCATAGTTGTCTTCGTTATAGCTTGATGTTATATCTGGATCAGTGATTTGTTTTGTGTTTTTGGTGATTTTTTTCTTTTTAATTAATCATTAGAGAAATTGGATTCTAATACAAGTTATTTTGTATTCAGCTTCTGATACATTTTGGTTATTGGAATTTTCATTGTCATTTTTAGTTGGGATCTATACAAAGTTTCAATATTTTTTCCGTTTTTATTTCAGTTTTCAAAAATTTCAAAATGTTTATGTAATTTTGTTGGGAATTTTAATAGTTTTGTATTTTGGTATAAAGTTTGAATTCTTTTAAAGTTTAAGAACATTGTTTGGTTTAAGGTTTTCAGAGATTTTTACATTGTTTGCTTTATAATATTTTGTTCGGGTTTGACTGGGATAATGGCAACTTATGAACATATTTTCGACAGTGAGAATTTGACATCTATTGCATGATGAGGGAGTTTTTTTTTGTTTTCATAGATGTGAGTGTATCAGATGTGTAGGTCCACTTCGGGGTCTGGATAATTCCTGCGTTGTCGGTGTTCTCTATCAATGTCCTCGGACAGAGAGCACCTTTCATGAAATATTTGCAATGCGATAGAATGAAGACTTGTGAAGCGATGAAATACTAGTCATTATTCCGATTTTTTCACTGTAGGAATTTAAGTTTGGCGTTACAGACCCCAACACTTCAGTGATAACTGGTTCTATTTGGCCTGAATTTCTCACATTCTGGCAATATTTCCTTTAAGCTTGTTAATTATTATTATGATTATTTTAGTTCCTTTGATTTCTAGTATACACACATTTCTTTCTGGGTCCCAACCAAAGACCTATGGTCAGAAATGGCATCATGACATTTTACACTAAGCATTTTTGACACAAAAAAATCATACATATTTTACAGAGATAAATCCCTTCGTAAGGGTTGAGTTGTATTTGTGAGAACAATTTTTTGTATATCTTGAAGTCATGGACTACCAGGGATCTCTTCAATGAGTCTAGTAGAATCCAATCAATCCGAAGGCTCCAACTACAACTGAAACAGTTAATGTCCTTTTTATGTGGTACAATTTCAAGGTCTTTGTTTTTTGATAGTTTTTTAAATCTTCAAATATACATGGACTGCCATGTGAATAATAATGCATATTTTGTCTTCGCTGTCTCTAATCATGATGTCTGTGCGATTAACGTTGATTGTTTCTGTGTATTTTAAAGTTCCATAAATATTTTACAGGTCCTATCTCCGTAAACGCGCCTGGGTGGTGTTCATACCAATTACTTGTAGTTTCTTTCCGTAAAAGTTGCATATTTTGTTTTGTATTCAGTAAGCACTGGTCTTTGTGCCGCAAGAATAAAACCTTTGGTTTCAGCTTTACCCTGCACTACGGTAGCCACTGATGGGTAGGGGTTTGTCTACATCAGCTTTTTGCTACTGGCGAAATATTGACCGTGAAGCAGTTAATCTTGTCATCGTTTCTGTATCTGGTCAATCGCGTTTGCCTTTGCAAATATTTTTAAGTATTTTGTAGCTGTAGCCGTTGTATTATGCTTTTCTTCATCCACATGAAACTCCATTTTGAATTTGTTGGCTTTCTTTTATTACTGAATAACATTTCTTAATTCTTAATTCTTTTCATGTTCTTTGACACAGATCATTATCCAGTCTTCTGCAGTTTCTAGGTATCTTTAAAGGCCAATTGATGTAGTTTTGTAATTTCTTTTTAACTAATCCTCTGGACACATACAGACGATCAAAATCAGCCTTCGAATGATGCATGTTGTGGCGTCCATTCGCTTAATGTCAGTTATGGCCTTTTAAGAATGTTGAAACTGTATTGCACTACGCGGACAGCCAAGGTGCTTATGGTTAATATTATTTTGGGAATTCAGTTCGGTATTCAATCCCAAACCCACACGTCTATCGTATTCTTTTCTTACTTTCTCCTTCATTTGGGCATGCTGTATTGCCTTTCCTTCCCTAATTCCTAGGTTCCTATCGGCTTCTTCTTGTTCGAGTTCCTAATCTTTGTGACGAAATCTAGATCTATTGAGTAAATCAACCATTCGTCCTTGCATTGGATATTGTTGCCATATATGGTCAGTTGCCTCCGCTATTCATCTCTAGGTTCTCGACAAAATCCAGAGGCGGATATGCATTTGCCTTTGCTGGTTAGTCCTGATTTGGCATCTCGTCTGTAGTTGCTATCTCACAGACGTACTGTGGCTTCCCTGAACCTGTTTTTTTAAAAGTATTTTCATGGCAACTGCTCTGATAAGCTACTTTCACTAGTTCCCAAACTACATGAATTTAGGCATGCTACGAGGTTGGCATCACAGTCTCACCCTTTCACTTATCGATGCGGCTAAATGTAACCGTCTGTTCCACTCCAACAACTTCTTATCTCACACCTCCCGTCAGTGGAACTCCCTTCCTATCACTTGTTTCCCTGATAGCTATAATCTTCAAATATTCAAATGTAATGCCAATCGACATCTTCTAATGCCTTGACCTTAATCCCCGTCCTTCTCTTTATCCTTTTCCCAAACGTTCCTCTTTACTCTTACTCTCACTCTCTGTAACCCCTTGCGTGCTAGTGGCACTCACGCCTTGCTTGGGTGATTTATTTAAAAAAAAATTCTCCCTTTCTTGAATGTTACTTTTGCACATTTATCTAATCCTAAATCCATTCCTATGTTGCCACTGAAACAGTATTGAGGAGACACTTCAACTCGCTGTCCTCTTTGGCAAACAGCTTGAGATCATCTATGTAGAGTAGGTGATTGAACAATTTCTTGTTTACTTTGTATCCGTAGCTATTATTGTTTTCATGAAAGGGGGGGTTAAGGACAAACAAAATGGAAGTGACAGGAAGTCTCCTTGAAAGATTCCTCGTCGAATATTCAGGCCGTTGGAAGTGACGATGCCTTTGGTGTGATTTAGGTATAATGTGGTTTTCTATATTCCCTTGCTGTGTTTAAGGAAATTTAATATATCCGTGAAGACTGTACGTTTCCAAAGCCTTAAGGGTCCAAGAGTGTAGCACACTATTAAAGGTAATCTGAGATTTCTACCTCTCTTTCTGAAAATTTCCAGGATCATTTTGTTTATCAAGTTGATCTTTATAACCATATGAATAATTCAACTTTGCATTTATTACCAGTCACACACGCCTGTAGTCCTTTCTTACCTTCGCCTTCATTTAGGCATGCAAGTATTCTATTTTATTTGCTAATTCCTAGATACCTATAGGCTTCTCCTTGTTCTATTTCCTAAGCTTTGTGACGAAATCTAAATCTATTGAGTGTGTTTCTGTAATTCCCCTTTCTTGAATGTTAATATTTTTGCACATTTATCTAATCCTAAATCCAGGACCTATTAGTTACTGAAGCATTTTACTGTATTGAGGAGACCCTTCACCTCATTGCTGTTCAAGTGGAAGAATTTTGTTTGATTCGAGAAAAGATTAATTACAGTTCGTAGGACAGACGTGATCAATTTTTACGTGGTGGACAGACATGTTATTGGCCTATAATTTCTCGGATCATCTATTTCACCCGTTTTAGCATGTGATATGTGATCTATTCTGATCCTTTATTTGGATTATTAATAAGCATTGATATAGTTTGCGCAAATATTTTATGGATTGATGACAGATGATAGAGCCAAAAATTTGGTATCTTGTCATTTCCTGGTGATTTCAATTTTGGGGATTTCGTTAGAGCTTGCCTAACATTATTCGTGATTATATTTTCCCATTTTTGTAGAGGTTTATCCAACATTAGTTCTTCTCGTTGGATCCATTCTACATTGGGTTGACATTCCTTTGGGCTGCTCCAAATATTCTCTAACATTTATGCACTTTTTCAGTAGATGGTGGGTTTTTGACATCTTTAACTGTTTTTTCCATTTCTCAGTAAAATGTCTTAATGTCTCTTTGAATGTCTAATTTTGGTGATAGAACCTACAACGTTTTTCGTATCGTCTTCTTCTCTGTGCCTTTAACTGCAGTTTCTATTTCAGCATTTCTTGATGGATAGAATTTCATTTAGTTATTTAATTTTATATTTCCTCTTGATCTTCTTGCATTTGTGTGTTGAGACATTTAAGTTTCTTGTGATCTCATCTAATATCGAAATCTCACATTTGTTTTCCTTTATTTCTCGCATCGGTTTTGCCTACCAAAATGGCTCTTTTTGTCTGTTGTTTGATCTTTTACAAGTAGCTGCTAAAGCTGTTGCGTATATAACATTATTTACTTCGGTGATGTTTCCCAGTGGTTTGTAAGTTAACAGGGTTTGCAGTCAGCGTTGTACATTTGCACAATGTGTTTATTGGACTTTGAGATGTGAATTTTTGGGAGCTGGAGATTTGTGTGAGAGTTATTCTGCTGGGCATTTGGATGATGTGATTTTTCGCTTCGGTGATTTCACTTCTGTTGTTTTTAAGGAATTCTATCCCAATGTGGTTTGATTCATCTTCAGTGACATAATCTGGATAATTGCACTTTATGTCGCATCTAGATTCTTTTAGGTTTTATTTCCTGGGGAGATTATTATTTCGTATTTTATTTATTTTAGTTTTTACTTCATCCTCTGTCATATTTAATTCTACTCTCATCTCCATATTCTTTGATTGATGGTTTATTTTATTCTGGTTTATATTTACTTTTATCTGATTTATTTTTGCATTTGAGAGTTTTTTTGTTTTGCACGAAGTTCCTGTTGGGTTAAGATGGCGTCTATTTCAGTTCCTACCATAGTTCTCCATATTTGGTATATCTGATTCGTGAAAGGGATTTTGTTGATGAACAATTCATCAGTCCATTTCGTTCGCTCATTTTCTTTTTATCAGTTGATTTGGTATTGAGTCACTTGGTCCAAGGTTGAAAATAGTCTGGATTTGGAGACCAGGTGTCTCTTCGTTGTTGAAAGAGCTTGTTCCAGTGATAGATTTTTCGGTCCCAGACTGGTTCCTCTCTGAGGTACGCGATACCGAGAAAAAAAAAGGACAGAAGTTTCTGATGGAGAGGGGGGAGTTTAAAATATAGGTAAAAAAAAAAAAAAACAATTAGAAAAAAAATTAAATAAAGAAACTTAAAATGAAATGAAAAAAAATGTAATTTCAAATGATATCAACTTTACGCTTGCTTTCGTGTTAAAAAGCAGACACAGAATGTCATTTGAGAAATGTTCAACTTTCCGACGCCAACAAGAGTTATAATCATCAAGTTTTATAGGGTAGATCATCACCTCCTCCCCCACAATACAGTTTGGCCGAAGAGCCATCAAGGAATTCATTAAACAAGGGGATAGAAAAAAGAAAAAAAATGTATATATTTTACATTTGGGGTTTTTCTCAACCTGAGAGCCACTAAAATTAAAATTTTCACTCAAACACAAGTATGGTCAGTCAATACGATTCCTACTCATGTGAGTGTGTGTACGCGCACACACACGTAGTTCCCTCTCTCTCACACTCATACACACACACACGCATATATATATATATATATATATATATATATATATATATATATATATATATATATATATATATACACACACACACATCGAAAAAGATACATAATGCCGAGGAAAAAAAAAAGACTGAAGTTTTTTGCTGGGGGTGTGAGGAAAAAATTAATATAGAAAATAAAAAAAAAAGAAATAAAAAAAAATATTATTATTATTATTATTATTATTTAGCGAAATCTTGCAGAAGCCAATTGAAGACAAGCCTAATGCATAATATAACTTGCTTCGTAAAATCTTTTAACTTTTTCTTCTTCTTTTCCTTCCTACCTTCTTTTTCATTTCTGTTTTTCTTTTTATCAAACTTCATTTTATTCTTTCTTCCTAAATTATTTCTCAGACATTTTTTTTCTTCGCTTCCCTTTTTATATCTTCTTTTTTATCCTTTTTTCTTTCTTTCTTCACTTTCTCTATTCTTTTCTTTTTCCTTACTTTTTCTATATCGTTCCTATTTCACTATTCCTTTCCTTTTTTCTCCCCCCCTCTATCTCTATTTCTTTTCATTTTTTTTCCCCCCTCTCTCTCTCTCTTCTTTTCATTTTCTTTTCCCTCCTCTCCTTTATTTTTCTTTTCTTTTCTTCTCCCCCTCTCTTTTTTCTCTCTGTTTCTTTCATTTTTCTTTCTTCAGTTTCTTTATTTTCTTTTCTTTCTTTTTTCTTCAATCTTTCTTTTTCTTTTTCTTTTTTTCCATTTCTTTTTTTATTTAATCTTTTACTTTTCTTTCTTTTCTTATCTTTTTTTTTTCGTTTCTTTTTTTCTTTTTCTTTTTTTCATTTTTTTGATTTTTTTTTTTTTTTCTTTTACTTTTCTTTCTTTCTCTTTTTTAACGTCTGTTTCATTATTCCCATTTCTTGCTTTTTCTTTTTTCCTTTTTCTTTCTTTTCACGCCCTTTAGTTTTCTCTTTTTCTTTTTTCTTCTTTTACTTTTTTTTCTTTTTCTTTTTTTTAACGTCTGTTTTTATTCCCATTTTCTTGCTTTTTTCTCTTTTTTCTTTCTTCTTCACGCCCTTTTTTTCTCTTTTCTTTTTTTTTCTTTTTACCTATTTTTTGTCTTTTCTTTTTTTTTCTCTTTTTTACGTTTTTCTTTTCTTTTCCTTTTTCTTTTTTTTTTTTTCTTTTTTTTTTCCCTTTTCTTCCCTTTAGTTTTTTCTCTTTTTTTTTTCTTTTTTTTCTTTCTTTCTCTCTTTTTTTAACGTCTGTTTCATTATTCCCATTTTCTTGCTTTTTCTCTTTTTTCCCTTTTCTTTCTTCTTCACGCCCTTTAGTTTTTCTCTTTTCTTTTTTCTCTCTGTTACTTTTCTTTCTTTCTCTCTTTTTTTAACGTCTGTTTCATTATTCCCATTTTCTTGCTTTTTCTCTTTTTCCCTTTTTTTCTTCTTCGCCCTTTAGTTTTTCTCTTTTTTTTTTCTCTCTTTTACTTTTCTTTCTTTCTCTCTCTTTTTTTTAACGTCTGTTTCATTATTCCCATTTTCTTGCTTTTCTCTTTTTTCCCCTTTTCTTTCTTCTTCACGCCCTTTAGTTTTTTTCTCTTTTCTTTTTTTCTCTCTTTTACTTTTTTTCTTTCTCTCTCTTTTTTTAACGTCTGTTTCATTATTCCCATTTTCTTGCTATTTCTCTTTTTTTCATTTTCTTTCTTCTTCACGCCCTTTAGTTTTTCTCTTTTCTTTTTTCCTTTTACTTTTTCTTTTCTTTCTCTTTTTTAACGTCTGTTTCATTATTCCCATTTTCTTGCTTTTTCTCTTTTTCCCTTTTCTTTTCTTCTTCACGCCCTTTAGTTTTCTCTTTTTTTTTTCTCTCTGTTACTTTTCTTTCTTTCTCTCTTTTTTAACGTCTGTTTCATTATTCCCATTTTCTTGCTTTTCTCTTTTTCCCTTTTCTTTCTTCTTCACGCCCTTTAGTTTTTCTCTTTTCTTTTTTCTCTCTGTTACTTTTCTTTCTTTCTCTCTTTTTTTAACGTCTGTTTCATTATTCCCATTTTCTTGCTTTTTCTCTTTTTTCCCTTTTCTTTCTTCTTCACGCCCTTTAGTTTTTCTCTTTTCTTTTTTCTCTCTGTTACTTTTTCTTTCTTTTTTCTCTGTTTCATTTTTTAACGTCTGTTTCTTTTTATTCCCTTTTTTCTTGCTTTTTTTCTCTCTTTTTTTTTTTTCTCTTTTTCTTTCTTCATTTTCACTTTTTTTTAGTTTTTCTTTTCTTTTTTCTTTTTCTTCCATTTTTCTTTTTTTCTTTTTCCCTTTTTTTTCTCTTTTCTTTATTCCCATTTCTTTTTTTCTTTTTTTTTTCTTTTTCTTTCTTTTTTAACGTCTTTTTTATTTTTTTTCTTTTTTCTTTTTTCTCTCTGTTTCTTTTTCTTTCTTTTAGTTTTTTTTCGTCTGTTTTTCTTATTCCCTTTTCTTTTTTCTTTTTTTAACGTCTCTTTTTCCCTTTTCTTGCTTTTCTCTTTTCTTTTCTTTCTTCTTCACGCCCTTTTTTTTTTTTCTTTTTTTCTCTCTGTTACTTTTCTTTCTTTCTCTCTTTTTTTAACGTCTGTTTCATTATTCCCATTTTCTTGCTTTTTCTCTTTTTTCCCTTTTCTTTCTTCTTCACGCCCTTTAGTTTTTCTCTTTTCTTTTTTCTCTCTGTTACTTTTCTTTCTTTCTCTCTTTTTTTAACGTCTGTTTCATTATTCCCATTTTCTTGCTTTTTCTCTTTTTTCCCTTTTCTTTCTTCTTCACGCCCTTTAGTTTTTCTCTTTTCTTTTTTCTTCCTTTTACTTTTCTTTCTTTCTCTCTTTTTTTAACGTCTGTTTCATTATTCCCATTTTCTTGCTTTTTCTCTTTTTTCCTTTTCTTTCTTCTTCACGCCCTTTAGTTTTTCTCTTTTCTTTTTTCTCTCTGTTACTTTTCTTTCTTTCTCTCTTTTTTTAACGTCTGTTTCATTATTCCCATTTTCTTGCTTTTTCTCTTTTTTCCTTTTCTTTCTTCTTCCGCCCTTTTCTTTTTTCTCTTTCTTTTTTTCTCTCTTTTTACGTTTTTTTCTTTCTTTCTTTTTTTTAACTTTTTTTCCCTTTTCTTTCTTATTCCCTTTTTTTTTTTCTTGCTTTTTCTCTTTTCTTTTTTTCTTTCTTCTTTTTTTCGTCCCTTTATTATTTTTTTCTCTTTTCTCTTTTTTTCTTCTTCTGTTTAGTTTTTCTTTTCTTTCTCTCTCTTTTTTTAACTTTCTCTCTTTTTTTCCTGTTTCTTCCCATTTTTTTGCTTTTTCTTTTTCCCTTTCTTTCTTCTTCACGCCCTTTAGTTTTTTCTTTTCTTTTTCTCTCTGTTACTTTTCTTTCTTTCTCTCTTTTTTTAACGTCTGTTTCATTATTCCCATTTTCTTGCTTTTCTCTTTTCCCTTTTCTTTCTTCTTCACGCCCTTTTTTTTTCTCTTTCTTTTTTCTCTCTTTTTACTTTTCTTTCTTTTTCTCTTTTTTTTAACGTCTGTTTCATTATTCCCATTTTCTTGCTTTTTCTCTTTTTTCCCTTTTCTTTCTTCTTCACGCCCTTTAGTTTTTCTCTTTTCTTTTTTCTCTCTGTTACTTTTCTTTCTTTCTCTCTTTTTTTAACGTCAGTTTCATTATTCCCATTTTCTTGCTTTTTCTCTTTTTTCCCTTTTCTTTCTTCTTCACGCCCTTTAGTTTTTCTCTTTTCTTTTTTCTTCCTTTTACTTTTCTTTCTTTCTCTCTTTTTTAACGTCAGTTTCCTTATTCCCATTTTCTTGCTTTTTCTCTTTTTCCCTTTTCTTTCTTCTTCACGCCCTTTAGTTTTTCTCTTTTCTTTTCTCTCTTTTACTTTTCTTTCTTTTCTCTCTTTTTTAACGTCTTTTTTCATTATTCCCATTTTCTTGCTTTTTCTCTCTTTTCCCTTTTCTTTTTCTTCTTCACGCCCTTTAGTTTTTCTTTTTCCTTTTTCTCTTCTTTACTTTTCTTTTCTTTCTCTCTTTTTTTAACGTCTGTTTCATTATTCCCATTTTCTTGCTTTTTCTTTTTTCCCTTTTTTTCTTTCTTCTTCGCCCTTTAGTTTTTTTTTCTTTTTTTCTCTTTTTCTTTTTTTCTCCTTTTTCTTTTTTCTTTTTTCTTTTTTCTTTTTTTTAACGTCTGCCCTTTAGTTTTTATCTTTTTCTTCCTTTATTTTTTTTTCTTTTTTTCTCTTTTTCCTTTTTTTCTTTCTTCTTCACGCCTTTAGTTTTTTCTCTTTTCTTTTTTCTCTCTTTTACTTTTCTTTTCTTTTCTCTCTTTTTTAACGTCTGTTTTCATTATTCCCATTTTCTTGCTTTTTCTCTTTTTTCCTTTTTTTTTCTTCTTCACGCCCTTTAGTTTTTCTCTTTTCTTTTTCTCTCTGTTACTTTTTTCTTTCTCTCTTTTTTTTAACGTCTGTTTCATTATTCCCATTTTCTTGCTTTTTCTCTTTTCCTTTTCTTTCTTCTTCGCCCTTTAGTTTTTCTTTTTCTTTTTTTTCCTTTTACTTTTCTTTTCTTTCTCTCTTTTTTAACGTCTGTTTCATTATTCCCATTTTTCTTGCTTTTCTCTTTTTTCCCTTTTCTTTCTTCTTCACGCCCTTTTCTTTTTTTTCTTTTTTTTTTTTCTCTGTTACTTTTTCTTTCTTTCTCTCTTTTTTTTTAACGTCTGTTTCATTATTCCCATTTTCTTGCTTTTTCTCTTTTTTCCCTTTTCTTTCTTCTTCACGCCCTTTAGTGTTTCTCTTTTGTTTTTCTCTCTGTTACTTTTCTTTCTTTCTCTCTTTTTTTAACGTCAGTTTCATTATTCCCATTTTCTTGCTTTTTCTCTTTTTTTTTTTTTTCTTTCTTCTTCACGCCCTTTAGTTTTTTCTCTTTTCTTTTTTCTCTCTTTTACTTTTCTTTCTTTTCTCTCTTTTTTTAACGTCTGTTTCATTATTCCCCTTTTTCTTGCTTTTCTCTTTTTTCCCTTTTCTTTCTTCTTCACGCCCTTTAGTTTTTCTCTTTTCTTTTTTCTTCTTTTACTTTTCTTTTCTTTCTCTCTTTTTTAACGTCTGTTTCATTATTCCCATTTTCTTGCTTTTTCTCTTTTTCCCTTTTTTTTTCTTCACGCCTTTTAGTTTTTCTTTTCTTTCTTTTTCTTTCTTTTTTTCTCTTTTTTTCCTTTTTTCTTTTTCTCTTTTTTTTAACGTCTTGCCCTTTAGTTTTTTTTTATTCCCTTTTTTCTTTCTTTTCTCTTTTTTTTTCTCTTTTTCCCTTTTCTTTCTTCTTTTTCTTTTTTTTCCCTTTAGTTTTTTTTTCTTTTTCTTTTCTCTTTTCTCTTTTCTTTTCTTTCTCTCTTTTTTTAACGTCTGTTTCATTATTCCCATTTTCTTGCTTTTCTCTTTTTTCCCTTTTCTTTCTTCTTCACGCCCTTTAGTTTTTTCTTTTCTTTTTCTTCTTTTACTTTTCTTTCTTTCTCTCTTTTTTTTAACGTCTGTTTCATTATTCCCATTTTCTTGCTTTTCTCTTTTTTCCTTTTCTTTCTTCTTCACGCCCTTTAGTTTTTCTTTTTTCTTTTTCTTCTTTTACTTTTCTTTCTTTCTCTCTTTTTTTTTAACGTCTGTTTCATTATTCCCATTTTCTTATTTTTTCTCTTTTTCCCTTTTCTTTCTTCTTCCCGCCTTTTAGTTTTCTCTTTTCTTTTTTTCTTTTTTTTTTCTTTCTTTTTTCTCTTTTTTTTAACGTCTGTTTCATTATTCCCATTTTCTTGCTTTTTTCTCTTTTTCCTTTTCTTTCTTCTTCACGCCCTTTAGTTTTTCTCTTTTTCTTTTTTCTCTCTTTACTTTTTCTTTCTTTCTCTTTTTAACGTCTGTTTATTATTCCCATTTTCTTGCTTTTTCTTTTCCTTTTCTTTCTTCTTCACGCCCTTTAGTTTTTCTCTTTTCTTTTTTCTTCCTTTACTTTTCTTTTCTTTCTCTCTTTTTTAACGTCTGTTTCATTATTCCCATTTTCTTGCCTTTTCTCTTTTTTCCCTTTTCTTTCTTCTTAACGCCCTTTAGTTTTTCTCTTTTCTTTTTTTTCTCTCTCTGTTACTTTTCTTTCTTTCTCTCTTTTTTAACGTCTGTTTCATTATTCCCATTTTCTTGCTTTTCTCTTTTTTCCCTTTCTTTTCTTCTTCGCCCTTTAGTTTTTCTCTTTCTTTTTTCTCTCTTTTTACTTTTCTTTCTTTTCTCTTTTTTTTTTTCTGTTTTCATTATTTTCTTGCTTTTTCTTTCCTCTTTTCTTTCTTTTTTTCTTTTTCCTTTTTCTTTCTTCTTCACGCCTTTAGTTTTCTCTTTTCTTTTTCTCTCTGTTACTTTTCTTTCTTTTCTCTTTTTTAACGTCTGTTTCATTATTCCCATTTTTCTTGCTTTTTCTCTTTTTCCTTTTTTTTTCTTCTTCACGCCCTTTAGTTTTTCTCTTTTCTTTTTTTCTCTGTTACTTTTCTTTCTTTCTCTCTTTTTTTAACGTCTGTTTCATTATTCCCATTTTCTTGCTTTTTCTCTTTTTTCCCTTTTCTTTCTTCTTCACGCCCTTTAGTTTTTCTCTTTTCTTTTTTCTTCCTTTTACTTTTCTTTCTTTCTCTCTTTTTTTAACGTCTGTTTCCTTATTCCCATTTTCTTGCTTTTTTCTCTTTTTTCCCTTTTCTTTCTTCTTCACGCCCTTTAGTTTTTCTCTTTTCTTTTTTCTCTCTGTTACTTTTCTTTCTTTCTCTCTTTTTTTAACGTCTGTTTCATTATTCCCATTTTCTTGCTATTTCTCTTTTTTCCATTTTCTTTCTTCTTCACGCCTTTAGTTTTTTCTTTCTTTTTTTTTTTTTCCTTTTATTCCCATTTTTCTTTCTTTCTCTTTTTTTTTAACGTCTTTTTCATTCTTTTTCCCATTTTCTTGCTTTTTCTTTTTTCTCTTTTTTTTATTTCTTCTTTTCCCTTTTTTTTTCTCTTTTCTTTTTTTCTCTCCTTTTATTTTTCTTTTTCTCTTTTTTTTAACGTCTGTTTCATTATTCCCATTTTCTTGCTTTTTTCTCTTTTTCCCTTTTCTTTCTTCTTCACGCCCTTTAGTTTTTTCTCTTTTCTTTTTTCTTCCTTTTACTTTTCTTTCTTTCTCTTTTTTTAACGTCTGTTTCATTATTCCCATTTTTCTTGCTTTTTCTCTTTTTTCCCTTTTCTTTTCTTCTTCACGCCCTTTTTTTTTTCTTTTCTTTTTCTCTCCTTTTACTTTTTTCTTTCTTTTCTCTTTTTTTTAACGTCTGTTTCATTATTCCCATTTTCTTGCTATTTCTTTTTTTTCCTTTTCTTTCTTCTTCACGCCCTTTAGTTTTTCTCTTTTCTTTTTTCTCTCTGTTACTTTTCTTTCTTTCTCTCTTTTTTTAACGTCTGTTTCATTATTCCCATTTTCTTGCTTTTTCTCTTTTTTTCCCTTTCTTCTCTTCTTTAGTTTTTCTCGCCCTTTAGTTTTTCTTTTTTCTTTTTTTTTCTCTATTTCATTTTCTTTCTTTCTCTCTTTTTTTTAACGTCTGTTTTCCTTCTTTTTCCCATTTCTTGCTTTTCTCTTTTTTTTCTTTTCATTTTCTTCCGCCCTTTTTCCTTTTTTTCTCTTTTCTTTTTTCTTCCTTTTACTTTTCTTTCTTTCTCTCTTTTTTTAACGTCTGTTTTTTATTCCCATTTTCTTGCTTTTCTCTTTTTTTCCTTTTCTTTTTTCACGCCCTTTAGTTTTTCTCTTTCCTTTTTTCTCTCTGTTACTTTTCTTTCTTTCTCTCTTTTTTTAACGTCTGTTTCATTATTCCCATTTTCTTGCTTTTTCTCTTTTTTCCTTTTCTTTCTTCTTTCGCCCTTTAGTTTTTCTTTTTCTTTTTCTCTCTGTTACTTTTCTTTCTTTCTCTCTTTTTTTAACGTCTGTTTCATTATTCCCATTTTCTTGCTTTTTCTCTTTTTTCCCTTTTCTTTCTTCTTCACGCCCTTTAGTTTTTCTCTTTTCTTTTTTCTTCCTTTTACTTTTCTTTCTTTCTCTCTTTTTTTAACGTCTGTTTCATTATTCCCATTTTCTTGCTTTTTCTCTTTTTTCCCTTTTCTTTCTTCTTCACGCCCTTTAGTTTTTCTCTTTTCTTTTTTCTCTCTGTTACTTTTCTTTCTTTTCTCTTTTTTTTAACGTCTGTTTCATTATTCCCATTTTCTTGCTTTTTCTTTTTTCCTTTTCTTTTCTTCTTCCGCCCTTTTTTTTTTTTTCTTTTTCTCTCTGTTACTTTTCTTTTCTTTCTCTCTTTTTTTAACGTCTGTTTCATTATTCCCATTTTCTTTTTTTTTCTTTTTTCTTTTTTCTTCTTCGCCCTTTCAGTTTTCTCTTTTCTTTTTTTTCCCTTTTACTTTTTCTTTCTTTTCTCTTTTTTTTTTTCTCGTCTGTTTCGTATTCCCATTTTCTTTTTTTCTCTTTTTTTTTCAATTTTTTTGCCTTTCTTTTTTCCTTTTTTTTTTCTTTCTTTTTTTTCTCTCTTTTTTAACTTTCTTTTTCTTTTTTTAACGTCTTTTTTTTCTTCCCTTTTCTTCTTTTTCTCTTTTTCCTTTCTTTCTTCTTCACGCCCTTTAGTTTTTCTCTTTTCTTTTTTTCTCTTTTTACTTTTCTTTTTTTTCTCTTTTTTTAACGTCTGTTTCATTATTCCCATTTTCTTGCTTTTTTTTTTTTTTTCCCTTTTCTTTCTTCTTCACTTTTCCCTTTAGTTTTTTCTCTTTTCTTTTTTCTTCCTTTTTTACTTTTCTTTCTTTCTCTCTTTTTTTAACGTCTGTTTCATTATTCCCATTTTCTTGCTTTTTCTCTTTTTCCCTTTTCTTTCTTCTTCACGCCCTTTTTTTTTTCTCTTTTCTTTTTTCTCTCTGTTACTTTTCTTTCTTTCTCTCTTTTTTTTTAACGTCTGTTTTCCTTATTCCCATTTTCTTGCTTTTCTCTTTTTCCTTTTCTTTCTTCTTCCGCCCTTTAGTTTTTTCTCTTTTCTTTTTTTTCTCTCTTTTACTTTTCTTTCTTTTTCTCTTTTTTTTTTTCTTTTTCTTTTTCTTCTTTTTTTTTTCTTTCTTTTTCTCTTTTTTTTTCTTTTTTCCTTTTCATTTTCTTCTTCTTCACGCTTTCCTTTAGTTTTTTCTCTTTTTTTTTTTCTCTCTGTTACTTTTCTTTCTTTCTCTTTTTTTTTTTTAACGTCTGTTTCATTATTCCCATTTTCTTGCTTTTCTCTTTTTCCCTTTTCTTTCTTCTTCACGCCCTTTAGTTTTTCTCTTTTCTTTTTTTCTCTCTGTTACTTTTCTTTCTTTCTCTCTTTTTTTAACGTCTGTTTCATTATTCCCATTTTCTTGCTTTTCTCTTTTTTCCCTTTTCTTTCTTCTTCACGCCCTTTAGTTTTTCTCTTTTCTTTTTTCTCTCTGTTACTTTTTCTTTCTTTTCTCTCTTTTTTAACGTCTGTTTCATTATTCCCATTTTCTTGCTTTTCTCTTTTTCCTTTTCTTTCTTCTTCACGCCCTTTAGTTTTTCTCTTTTTTTTTTCTCTCTGTTACTTTTCTTTCTTTCTTTCTCTCTTTTTTCTGATTTATTCCCATTTTCTTGCTTTTTCTTTTTTTTTCCTTTTCTTTCTTCTTCACGCCCTTTAGTTTTTTCTCTTTTCTTTTTCTCATCCTGTTACTTTTCTTTCTTTCTCTCTTTTTTAACGTCTGTTTCATTATTCCCATTTTCTTGCTTTTTCTCTTTTTTCCCTTTTCTTTCTTCTTCACGCCCTTTAGTTTTTCTCTTTTCTTTTTTCTTCCTTTTACTTTTCTTTCTTTCTCTCTTTTTTTAACGTCTGTTTCATTATTCCCATTTTCTTGCTTTTTCTCTTTTTCCCTTTTCTTTCTTCTTCACGCCCTTTAGTTTTTCTCTTTTCTTTTTTCTTCCTTTTACTTTTCTTTCTTTCTCTCTTTTTTTAACGTCAGTTTTTTTCTTCCCATTTTCTTCCCTTTTCTCTTTTTTTTTTTCTCTTTTTTTTCCCTTTAGTTTTTCTCTTTTCTTTTTCTTTCTTTTACTTTTCTTTCTTTTCTCTTTTTTTTAACGTCTGTTTCTTTATTCCCATTTCTTTGCTTTTCTCTTTTTTCCTTTTCTTTTCTTTCTTCTCCCTTTCTTTTTCTCTTTGCTTCTTTTTCTTTTCTTTCTTTCTCTTTTTTTTAACGTCTGTTTATTTTCCCCATTTTTTTTTCTTTCTTCTTTTCTCTCTCTGTTTCTTTTCTTTCTCTCTTATACTTTTCTCTCTTTCTATATTTTTGTCTCTTTGTTTCTCGAAGTAAATGAAACATAAAAAGTGAACATAAAAAGTTTCTATAAACATTTATTGTTACATGGCCAATCGCAAGAAACGGGTATAATGAATTATATTCAACTCCGTATTTTTGTATTGGCTCCAACACGTGAAAGGCTACAATGTCATCTATCAACATTTACTTGAAAGAGAAAGGAGATTTCTTTCCGCATGGTGTTATAACCTTGTCTTTGGACTGATGCGCATGCCAGCGCGTTTAGGCCTGAAAGAAAAAGCAGAAAGACACTCATCAAATGTGACAGTCAATTGTCGCGAACACATTTTTAAATATTAAAATATATGAAAATAATAAAGCAAATCATATTATATTATAATAGCATTATTAACCGTTTCCTTATAAGAAAACATTCAACTGACCGAACACCCTGTGTTACTTCCGGTTGAAATTAATAAAATCTTAAAACAATTTTCAGGAGAATACATTCCTAAAGTCCATTAATTGTTATTGATTATTATTTTATTTTTCAGTATTGATGGGGTTTCCTTTCTAACCTTTTATTTGAAGTAGAGTTGAATATCATTATCTTTATTATTTTATTACTTTCTCTTCGAATTACATGTACTATCCATATTAGTTGTTGCTGTTGTTTAGGGCCGGCGCGTCTTACCACCTGAAACACCTGCCCCATGCCTACTGGGGAGCGGGTGTCAGAAATGCTAATTTCAGTAACTCTTATTTTGGTAAAAATTGTAATTTTCTTTCCGAACAGTTCTTTTAAATCAATTAAGAGGGTAATATATGGGGGCGTTTTTTTTTCCACACACAGAACAGACTTGGAGATTTCTAGGGTCGAATTGGAAAACGATTATTCAAGTAAATAAACTTCCAATGATTAGGATAACATTTAAAACTGCAACTCATTTATATTTAATACAACAATGTTTTGTATGTGAATGTGTAATTTTTTTTCTCCTGTGGATATAACGTTTTCATAATAAACAGTCATTATAGTACATGTTTTATAAAAATCGTTATATATCTGTGTTGTAGAATATAAGTCAGCGTACTTCCTGCACTTCCCTACAGCTGTGACAATGGACTACTCCTACTTATAAACATGACAAGTAACCACATTAGAGTAAGTTTTTAGTAATATTTGATTTACTCCATTTTTTTTTTCCATTCTGTTCATGAGTAATTCGCCCGACGAATTTTTGTTGGGGTTTTTGACAAATATTGGATCGTTTCTTGGCCTATGGCTGAGATTCGATCAAGGCTTCGACTAGCTTGGACTGGCTCCGGCCGGGACTTTCTAGGACATGTCATGACCAGCTTTGACTAGGCTCTGACCAGCTTGGACAAGCTATGACCAGTTTTGGACCAGAGTCCCTTGAGTGGAAACACTCGGGTCTCCCACGTTAAACGACCTTGTGTCACATCTTGACCCTGTGGGAGTTAAGTAAATGCCATTCTGTTCATGAGTATTTAATAAACCATTTCTTTTTTTGTTTCCTCGATCTAGTCTTCTGCTTCTTCAGTATTATCTCTAACTACATCCTTCCGAATTATCCGCCATTTTAAACAAAGACAACTTCACAGCAAATTGATACAGAGAATGTTCATTAGTTAATTACATAAGGGTGAGAAGAATACCATTACAAATGTGAGCAAAGAGGAAACAAGGCTTGGAGAATTTGATACTCACAAGACAAACCAAAGGCAAGAGGCAGAAATAGCGAGTAAATTATCTAAGGGTTTATGTAAATGAATGGCAATATAGGGACTGTGGTGCGTAGTAAGGAGATCGAGGTATAATGTAGCTGTGGAGAGCCATAATCGTCCACCTCCAAAAAGGATTCGGTACATAAAAAGAGGATTAACACTATCAACAAATAATGGGGTCTACACGTTTTCCATATCATTGAACCTTTTTAATTTATAAGACATCGCTTGGTGGCCATTTTTCTTCTATGTGCCTTGTCCATTCTAGCTCTTAAAAAATATTGCCTTTTTGTTATTTCGCCTAAACCCAGCTGTGCTATCCAAATACTCAAGCTCACTAGATACGCTATGCGCTGTTTTCCTCTGTCACTCTTACCTTCAATCTGTGCTGTGAGTATCAAATTTTCCAAGCCCACTTCCTTCCAAATGTGACCTAGAATTTCAACTGCCTCTTCTGTTGTTAAATATGTGTCCTTTTTGTTTCCATTTTCTCTAAAACTTCGTCGTTGTTAACATGTTCAGTCCACGGTATCCTCAGCATCCTTCTGTAGAACCACATTTCTGTTGCTTCAAGTCACTTATTCATCTGTGAGGAGATTGCCCAGCATTCACTGCTATATAGAAGGACTGATATTACGTAACAGTTCAGTACTCTTTTCTTTGTTTCTAACGAAATTTTCCTGTTGCTTAATGCTTTCTTAGCTTCGGATTTCAACGTCGCACTTTCAGTCCTCTGTTAAAGCACTTCCCAGATTGCATTAGCCATACGTCAGATAATTTTTCTCATATAATTTTTTTTCACCGTCTAACTGCAGAAATCTTTAAAAAAAGTAATTAAATATGCATCCTAATTTTTTATGGCGGCTCGGTGGAGTAATGGATAGCGGCTCAGATTGAAGAATCGGGGAGCTGAGTTCGAATTCCAGTCGAATCCATTACATTCACTTACGTGCTAATACCCTTACCATAATACCCATCATCTTCTCCTTCTAGCTATGGGTAAATAGCAGGACAGACCGAGTTTTATAGCCTTGGATGGCAACTGGTCTACCGTAGAAAGAAATGGCAACCTACGGAAAAAAAATCGTAAGATACATGATCGCCTAAACGTGTATCACGTACTGACTGAATTTGTTATGCGATGAAACATAGCCATCTGTCATCTGGTAGAAATATAAGCTGACACCAAAATTCACTGTATAAAGTTTCACTGTGATAATTAGAAAATATTCGATTGAACCTATCTATGATTAAACCATTTAGCAATTCCAGAAGAGATTTTTAAAAAAAATCATTTCACCCCAAGCAAGGCAATAAAGCTATGCTGCTTCTTCTTTTCATCTGTGAGAATTGTCCAACCTTTACTGCCATATAGGTGGAACGCTATTACGAAAAGGCTTATCACCTTTCTTTGTTTCTGAGGAAATGCTCCTGTTTCGTATTGCTGTAGTTTTTTGAAGGCATCTGTCGCTATTCCAATGTGCCTTCGGATTTCGGTGTCACAAAACGCATATCAGTCAGACAAATAATCTGCTTCTTTTTTGTGTCACGTCCCTTAAGGACATAGGCGATCATGGCTCTCAACATCTTCCTATCTCAGCAGGGTTTTTTTTTTCACTTTACTAAGGCCGCCGCCTCAAGTTCGACCATCCTTTCACACAAGCTCGTCAGGCAAATTGGCTCGCCGCCTTCCCCTTTCTCTCTCGTCCTCAATAAGTCTAGTGAGTGTTTAGTTTTCCAAGCCTTCCTTCCTCGTTATATGTCCAAAGAAATTTCAGTTGTCTCTTCCTGATTTTGTGTATAAATGTTCTTTCTGCTGACATTTTTCGTTCTTCAAGCTCTACATCCTTATAAACAACAGGGAAAGAAATTTGCTTTGCGCTAATCATTTAAGCGATTTAGGCCTTGAAAAAAAAAAAAAAAATACTCCCAGGAAAATCTTTCTTCATTAAATCATAACCGGAATAATTTTGTTTGTTTAACGGCATATCAACTCCTTATGGGTCATTTAATGCCGGCATTTTATTTTCTAAGTTTTGAAATAATAAGAATATACGTTATTCTGCTTTCACAATGGAATACATGGTAGATAATACTCAGCTTTTGTGTATATACATGTTTGTGTAGACATAATTACTAGAGGCGGTAATATGAGTGTTTTATGTTGTAGTTAAAGTTATATTTTGAAATACAGTTTAATTACTTTAAGAAATTAAAGGATATCATATAAATTAATGCTATGAAAGCGTTCGTTCATATTGATTATTTGGTTGATTTTTATTTAGCGACATGTCAATCTCTATTGGTTATTTAATGCCGAATTCTAAACATTTTGAACTCAATTGTATGCCTTCAACTACAGATATAATATATTGTTGGTCATTTTGCTACACAATGTATTGATGTTAATTCAAATATAAAATGTATTACTAGTCATTTTGCTATAAACTGTATTGTTGGTAATTATACTATGAACTATATCGCTGGTCATTTTGTTATAAATAGGTATTGTTCTTCATTTTCCTATAAAAATGTATTTTTATACTTCCATAGTGTTCTGCATTTGTTTGGGGATTCATTATTTGGCCATAGCTAGGGCTCTAACAGGTGCTACCACCACAGACAAGAGTGGACCTGGGAACAATGGCAATTAAGAAGTCGTTCCATGCTCCTGAATAGATCCAGTCTCGCGATCAGAGGTCTTGCTACCGGACGTAGTTTATCGTCATGCCCAGGTCTAGGATAATTTTGATTCCATAGACTTCACCAAAACCTAAGAATCAGTTTCCGATCATTATTTGTTGAAGGATATAAAATTTTATACCTTTTTATGTACCGAATCCAATTTGGACGTGAGTGATTATGGCTCTCCACAACTTCTTCTTTGTATCTCTAAGTGATGTTTATCTTCTTACTATCCTTCCCGTCTCTATTCTTATATTCATTTATATAAACTCTTTAGATATGTTTCTCACTGTTTCCGCATACGCCTCTTGTTTTCGGTATGCCCTGTGAGTACCAAATTCTCCAAGCCCACTTTCCTTTGCTCAAATGCCCATCCATGGTATTCTCCACAACATTCTGTAATTGAATAATGAATTTTCTCTTTATCAAATGCACATTGGTTTTTACAAATATTTCCAATAGTGACTGATTGCAAGGGCAAATAAAGATATCTGACGAGATATCTCGTCATCGTCTTTTTCAAGTGATTAAATGCTAAGTAATGCGTCGCTCATATTCCCCCCTCCCCGCGCATGTGCCTCCCTGTCGTTCGAGGAACTATTCTGCCCCTGCCCTTCAGC